AGCTTGGTAAGCGTTGTTTTCTTCCGTCTTTCGTTCCTTATGCTGCAATCCAATGGCTAGCGGGGACTTGTGCTGTTGCTGTGTTGATTCCTGTGAGTCGGAGGCTGTAATGTGTTGCGGTGTTTCTGGGCGGTTTAGATATGCTTGTCTTTGTATACTACCGTTATATATTTCTTTTGCACTAGTGGTTTGTTGCCAATATTTCCATTTCTTGTTCATTTGCTCGCTCTAATAAGTTTTGCTCCAAAATTCGCCTATTTGTGTTCATACTATTTTATCGTATTATCATGAGCGATGGTCTTGTTCATTGCTATCGTTGTCAAGTTGTTGTTTCAGGTGTCTGGATGATTCAGTGTCCAATTGTCCTAATTACTGAGTTGTTCGCTGTGACTCGATGTATACTCAGATACCTTTCTATCCGATCCAGTATGTAGTGTTCTTGCCCTATTTGCTGTATTTGGTGAATGCGGCGTTATTTTGGTGTTCTGATGACTTTCCTGTTGTCGAATGTTTGCAACTATCGCAGGGGAACGTTTCTTTCACGGTGCTTGAAGTCGGTCTGCGTTGTGTATTCGCCAGCGGTGATTCGCTTTGTTACGAGCTTTTCTTCTAGTGCACTCAGTGACCTTGCACCAGACTCGCAAGACATTTTTTATTAAAAGCTGAACTATGAAATCTGTACACATCTGTGGAATCTTTGTGCCCAAGAGCTCTTAGTGTCGTCCCAGGTTCCTCTGAGAGATCCGTCGGGTTATGTTCCTAATGCGTTCGTGTTAATTTTCATATTATTTAATTAATTGCATGTGTCTTTATCTCACTGAAGTTCCACGTCAGTACACATTTCCTACCTGTTTCTCCACTCTTAGACATTCGCTATATTTTTCGATTTTCATTCCCAATAATGACTCTACTTTTTCAAGAAAAAATAATTTGAAACGTTTTAATTTTATATGAGAACTTGAACAGTTATGACGAATATTATATTGTCTATAACTATTGCATTTGTGTACGTTTTTGCCGTAACAGCACGACAGAGTCATCAACAGCAAATTGCGCATAGTATTTGTTGATCCGTCCAGTGCGGTCTGATGATAGGATAGGCACATGCGGCCGTAGCTAGTAGGGCGGGGTTTTGCGGGGACATTACATTTTATTGTATTTGTGTCCGATTTTTATCCTTCGCGTTTTGGTTGTCTCGTCGTGTCTATCTGCTTTTCTTGTTTGTTTAGGGTATTGGTTCGCGAGAGTGGTGAAGCGATATATATATTCTTTAATAAGAGGAATGCGGCCTCTTGACATGGGGATTGCGGTTCTTACGTACAGTCGTTTATTGATTTGTTTTTCTAGTACTTATTTATCCTGGGTTGTTACGTAGCCTCTCTTTATTAAAGTGGAATATATAGAGATGTTCGCGTCATGAAATAATTCCTGATTTTGTGAGTAGTGCTTGTGGGTCACCATATGTGGTTTTTTTCATAGTTAAAGATTTACCTGCGTTCTATGGTGGCTGCTGTGTGTGGAGGGGAAATCAGCGCGCCTCTCGCCGTGTTTTAGCCTGGTGTTTGAGAAATTTGCTTTCATCTGTCTGTTTTGTTGGTTCGGCTTAATCTTCGTGTTGGTTCTGGTGCTTATCGGTTCCTCTTGTAAAATAATCACTGTGCCTTCTTGAGTGTATGCGTTTTGGTGTTGTTGGGTGGGCTCGGGCGATTTTGTCAGCGTGTGGTTCTAGTGTTCTTGCGTATGTTGGTCGCACTCGCGGAAGTTCGTGGTCGTTGTTGTTTATAGCTCCTTGTCGGGAGAGCGTCGTCTGGTCCGGGGGGTCGCGCGGACCACGTTCTTCGATGGGTGTGGGCCAGCAGTCGTCCCTTGTGGGATGGGCTGCGGGTGTTTTTGTGGCACGGGGGCGTGTTTTTTGGGGTGGATGTTTTGGGTTGGGTTATGGGGCGGGAGTGAATGCGTGTGGGAGGTTGGTTAAAATACTTATTAAGGTTAAGGGAGGCTGGAAATATGGCGTGCCGCGAAAGGGTCTATAGGGGCGCATGTGCATGTCCAGTGTGGTTGTGATGCGTCGAGTTGACCTCATTGGTAGGGCATGTCGTAGTGCTATCAGCGATAAATGTGGTGGACCTCTCGCTGTCGTCATAATAGAGTGTGAGTCCTCCGGTAGAGAGCTGGTGTTACATGTACTTGCTAGTTAGTTGGTGCGAGGAACAATTGGTTTGTCCTCGATTAATAGTGCTTACTATATTTGTCTCACTCTAGGAGTATTCCTTATCATAATTATTATGGGTGTTTTGCAGGTCTTTGTGCTTTTCTCGGCGTGTGGCCGATCCCTTATCGCGTGGGGTGTTGATATTTTGATGGCTGAGGGCGGGTTGGGGTGTGTATTATCACCCCTTGTCTTGCACAAAGTTCCCTGACAGTCTGTTTGCCGTCTTGCGTTCTCGCATTCCGATTTTGCTTGTTTTGTTTGTGGTGTGTGCGCCGGTGTGTGTGGCGCGGTTTCGGCTGCCTCCTTTGTGTATTCTAGGCCTGGTGTGTGACTGTCTCTTTTGACTTCTGTTGTTCCTAATCTTGTGTCTTTGTGTGCTGGTTAAGTGCTCAATGCGCTTATGATTTCCAAGTTGTATTTATATTCCGTCTGAGTTTCCGATCCCGGTCATACTTTTGTGCCGATTCTTGCGTTGGTGGTCGTGGGTGTCTTAGCTTGTAAGGTTTCGCGCAATGCGCCGACTAATTCTGACGGTGTCCGATGCCCATATTTCTCATTATTTCTGCCTAATTTCCCAGTGTTCACTCAGTGCATAGTGTGATGGTTCAGGGCGTTTGCGGATATATGCAGTCGGCATATTGATCTCTTATCTCATTCTCCATAGTAATTAGACCGTACTTTATGAGTTCCGACGGGTCCTAACCTATGTTAGAGTGTTGAGTGCGTTAAAGAGTCTTTATTGCTGTAGCTTATCCGAGTTAGTGGTTTTTTTGCTGCTCGTCATGCAGTCTTTTTGCGTATCAGAAGTTTGCTCCGGAGGCCTGAGGGTGTGTTGGATGATGCGAGTTAAAGTGTTAGCTTTCCAAGTACTACTTAAAAGCCACGATACCTGGATACGTTTAGTTGTTGGCACTATTGTATCCTTGGGTATCCAAATTTTCGCGTTGAGTTGTAAGAGCAATTATCGATGGCTCGTTCGTAGATGATGTGCTCGTGACAGTGATGGGCCTAACTTTCATATCTGCGATTGATCACCGAGTTATAAATTATAGTCCTCATATTCGCATGCGTCGCCTCATATTAGTGTGGTTCAATACCATTCTCCAATGTCATAATATCTATTCCATTCGCGCACTTTAATCCATATATGGCTTTTTTGTTTTTCTTTCAATGTAGGTTCTTTACTCATGTTTCTCATAGACTTATTTCTGAAATTTATTGTCTTCCGTTACAGCTTCCTGTCTAACTTGTGTATATCCGGTTCGCACGGTAATTTTTTTGTCTGGCGGAGTGTAGCGAGAAAGGTGTTTCTGCTTTGTCTGAAGTTTTTCTTAGTGTGTGGAGCTTAGTTTCTTTATTATGTTTAGTTATTGTAGTTAATAGAATGATATTCTGACGTTTTTACTGTGATGGAACGTCAGCACTATAGTCATTTTGTGGCTTGACTCGCGCATGATTCTGTGGGTGTGGATAGGTTTGTAGGTTTTATGTAGGTTTTGTTCTGTTTTGAATTTTTTTTCTTATTACTCGCTTCTATCTCGATTTGGTCGCAAATTGGTATGTTTTGCTGGTTTCGGTGAGTGGTGGAGTAGTGGATCAGTGCCGTGTGTGTGGAGTTTAGCGGTGGGTGTATTGCATAGGTGGTGTGTGTCGTCTCTTATATTCAATGTGCTAGTGTGAGACTTATGGGTGTCCAGACTCGCGTGCCTAAGTAACCGCCGCGATGATTAAATACTACTTGGGCGCAAACAGTCGGCCCTGCGGTGCTCGCCATGTTGGTAGGAAGGATCTCCCAATCGACTCACCTACCCTAACCTAGGAGAGTCTCAACCGACTTCTTCCAATAGCATTTGATCCATAATTGGAAAGTATTCCACCAATTGTTTGATTACATTCCTTCCAGCTATGATCCCCAGTCACTATATTCGTTGCCCATCCACTTGTCCCCCGTCAATTCGTGCCTAGATAAGCCAATTTTTGACCATTAGTCCACCTATACCATTCCACATTTCAATATATGCTCATCAATGTATAAATACTTTGGAGAATATAGCTTTTTCGCCACATAGTTTAACTAACAATTTAGCACACTTCAAGTTCAGCTCGATACTCAGTTATAGAGCGACTAACACCATGAATTCACACGTAACGATGATGTTAATCTGCTCCACCGCACCGCGCATCTATTGTATAAATAGACTTTTTTAACTTTAACTTTTTAAAATTTTTGTTTTACCGACCTAAGAACGCACCTCCCAACGTGCTAATTCTGAAACATACTTAGTTTTCCATCTAAGCGCTGCACGGAAGTTCTCTAGTTATCGCGAGTATCGGAACTAATTCGCGCATGAAACAAACTTTATATATACATATATAGATATACATATTATACGACAGCGAAAACAACGAATCCATACCATCCATCCCGACACAGTCACCATGCATATACAGAAAAATACTCAATTAGGATAATAGGATGAGTGTATTAATTTCTTAGTAATTTTTTAGTTAAGTTTAAAAAAAACAATTCTCTCCACCTCATGTCTATATATATATATAATATATATATATATATATACTATATATATATATATATATAAAGTTTACCTATCTCGTATGATCCCTGAGCTACAACTAGACTGAAAACGCAGTATTCTATAAGGCGGTTAATCTAGCCATTAGCTCTCATACCGAGTGCGTATGATGCACGCAGCTGGTCAGATGTTTGTACTGTTTTCATTATCGCTTGATTCTTTTAATGCTTTAATTCTTTATGCATGCAATTTAGATGTCGGCAGCAGTAAGTATATCGTAATATATCGTGAATATTGTTACGAGCCGTTGGCATGGCATGTTATAGTTCGATAGCATATTATCGTGTTACATATAGCAATAGTAACAAGGCATCAAGAAATCGTAGCGCTGCGCTATTATATCCGTCTCGTCATACATATTATATAGTTTCCATCATATTCTCTTTCTATTTTGTTACTGGTTTGCTTTCACTGTAAATATCCACCAATGCGTGACCCTGTGCCGAGGTGAAAATAGCGTGTGGACAATAGGACGTTCACATTTTACTAGCCATTTCCATATGAGAGTAACTTTAAGTTACATTCATAGGTAAATAAGTAAAATGATTAGTTTTGACATCTAGCATGACATGTAAATATATATCGTGTGTGAGTAGATGGCAGTCATATTTACCTCCGCAACGGAGTTGCAGGGAGGTAATGTGACCCCTCTCGTGTGATGTT